AGAGGGGGGGTCGTAGTCGCAGGCATCCGGAGGGGTGGGCAGTCGGAGAAGACGGTGGCGGGCAGTTGGAGAAGATGGCGGCGGGCCAGTCGGAGAGGAGCGACAGTGGGTGTTCGCCGGATCTCCCGCCTCTTCTTCGGCTGGAGAAGACAGAGAAGAAAAGAAAAAAAAAAACAATTGAAATCAGTTTTTAGCTTTTTCAGCTGAAAACGAAAACGTGAAAATGAAAACGGATTTTTTCCGTTTTCAGTTTTTCACAAAAAGATAAAAACGTTTTTGTTTTTATTTTCTAAAAAATTTTGTGCCAAACGCGTTTTCACTTTTAGCCCGTTCACTTCGCCGATTCGAGTTTGTAATTCGAGTTGAGATGTGATTTTGTGTGAGAACTTTTTACTGTAGTAAAAAAGTTAGATGTGACTGTTTCTGAGAGCTTTTTACTGTAGCAAAACTCGAATTCTAAACTCGAATCGGCGAAATAAACGGGGCATTGTGTTTTCATTTTTTTGTTTTGAAAAACGTGAAAAATAAAAATAAAAACAAAACCAAACAGTCCTATAGTTTCTTTCTTTTTTTTTTTTTGAACGGAAAATTTTTCATCAATAAATTTAAGTTTCCTTTTAAGAGTCGGAAACACATTCCCAACTTTCCCAATTTCTGATTTCCATATATAAAGATCCCAATTCTGCATTCCGAAAATTCACTTCCAATTTCCAAACAAACAAACTCCTTGGTCTCCAAGTTTCTAGTCTTTCAACAAATGGAGTTTCGGAGGGGAGACAAGATCGAGGTCTGCAGCAAAGAAGAAGGTTTCGTGGGCTCGTACTATGAGGCGACGGTGGTGTCGCAACTGCGAAAGGACTTGTACGTTGTCCAATACAAGAATCTTCTTGAAGACAACAACGATTCCGAGCCTCTGGTCGAGACCGTACGAGCTGGGGAAGTACGGCCCGTACCTCCCCAGATTCCGGCGTCTGAGTTCGGTCTTTTTGACGCTGTCGATGCCTTCGACAATGACGGTTGGTGGGTCGGAGCGATTTCCGGGAAAAAAGGCTCCGATGATTACTTTGTCTTCTTTGAGACCACCGGCGATGAGATTGCTTATCCTGTTTCTCGTTTGAGGGTTCATCTTGATTGGGTCAAGGCCAAGTGGGTTTCTCCCAAGCAAAGGTGGTTATTAATTTATTCATAATCTCTCTACTTACTTTTCTTTTCTTTTTGATTAATTTTGGTGGGTTTTAGGTTCTGGGTTTGTTTTTCATTCTCTTGAATGTTTTGTCTGATTTTTTTTTTTTTTTTTGGTTTTTTTTAGAAGGTTAAGAGGATAAGGATTGTGCATGGTGGAGAGGAATGCGGAGAAATATGGTCTCAAGCGATAATGGCCCGCCGATGGTTCGTTCTTTCTAGGACTCTCAAGTTGGAAGACAGAGATCGTGATCAGTATAAAATATATATATATATATATATATGTAAATATAATATATATAATATACATATACATATATATATATATATATGTTTGTATGCAGTTAATGCTTTGTGTTAGAATGATGGGAAAGTACCAAGAGCAAAAGATGCATATTTGGTTTTGACACTAGGTACCATAGTATATGTGAATGATTTACTGTTAATTACTAGCTGCAATTACAAGTTTCTTTAATTTTTTCTTTTTTCCTTTTTATGGGAAGGGATTTAGAAGTTTCTTAATTAGTTCATTGTCGATTTTTCATTTGGAAATTTGAATTTGTTTTAAAGAATCTTGATTTATTATCGTTTCTTTCCCCAACCAAACGTGCCCCATAGAGTCTTATTGTTCTTTCTGTCTAGAACGCCGACTCTATCTCGGAGGTTAAAAATATGGGCTTAAACAAATGTGGCGTCTAATCAGATCAAGAGTAAATCGATTGAAAGTTGGCACCAAATAATACCCAAACTTTGCAAAGATTTTAATTGCACAAACGACAACTTGATGGACAGATAGTTGCAAGCAAAATCAAGTTGGAGAGTGGGAGATCCAAGCACAATCAAAGATAAAGAGCTATTAATAATTCATTTTTTAAAAAACCTATCACAGAAATATGCACACACAAAAAAAAAACCATAAACATTTATGTCTCTGGTACGTTTATAATTGACACCTCTCATTTTACTTAGTGCTGAAACTTTAGACGGGCCGCCTGGGACCGCCCGAAAAGCCTGAGGATTTACCTGAGCCCGAGCCCAACCCGCCCGAGATTTCCGGGCCGCCCGCCCGAGCCCGAATTTCACATTGAACGGGCCATGGGCTTGTATTCGGCGACCCGAGCCCGCCTGAATTGCCCAAATTTTTTGAACTTTTTTTTAATATTAAGTTATATATATATATATTATATATATATATATTACAATTTGAAATGAACACACGAATTATATAAAAAAATTATTTCTTTATTAATTTTTAAATTTATAATTCATGATTGCCTCGTTAAAAACCGTACCAAGAAAAACCCAATTGGGATAAAAACTTGGCAAGGAAAAAAGAGTGCAATCATTTTGTGACGAATTACAAATTGTACAAACTTACATTGTTTATTAAATTACAAATACAATGTAAAAAGTA